CGATAGGCTAACTGTCCTGCCCTCGTGTTCATTGTATCCTCCATTGGTAACGCCCCGCCAACGTAAACCGTTGGAGCGGGCGGGTGCGCCATTTCATTATCATCCACAAAATAAACTAATAACATTATGAGCATCTACTGTAAGTTTCTTTACTTTAAATAACTAAATCTAAGCTCTACGTTCTACCACTGCTCTACTGCAAGCTACGGCACTTTTATGATATCATTGGTGTGACGTCACGCACTACAAATAGAAGTGAGTATGCGTCACCACCGACTCCTCGAACACTTCGATACCTTCGTGCTTTAATATTATAATACGATATATAAAAAACTTAAATTAGCGCCAACAGGTACATATAGTATACCAGCAGCAGCATGTGCGAGGTAACTACCCAGTTAATAGCGCGTTACACAGACATAAATATGGAGCGTAGCATAGTTATTTGAGCCATTAATAGCGGTTGTAACAATTAGCTATGCTATTATGTACAATCATTTAAAACAAACTGTATTGACGAGAGCTCTCGGTCGCTCTCTCTACTGTACTTATGTTACATTAGAGTAAGACCGCAGCCTACCAGACGTCACTTATTTTATAATGAACGATATGTGAGGACTCAAAAGTTCAAGTGTACGGTTTACGTACATTGCACTGGTGCGCCGTCAGCATTACTTTCATATCGCATCAATAACTTATTACCAAAACTAGTGGACGTTCGGCTACCAAACTCACTCCTTTCTTATTAATTTCCAAAATACCAATAAATTTTACATTTTACTATGTAAACATTATTTGTATAAATTTAATGTCCTGTGTAATAAAACCGTACATCAAATTGGTCCTTCGAGCCGGATCCGAACCACCTATCCGCTATGATCGTATCCCGCTACGCGTTTTAGTTTTTTAATTTAATATAATTAATAAAAATAGTAATTCATACAAATTTCATTAATAACAAACTAAACGACGTTTGGTAGGTCTGCGATCTAAGTCGACACGTATTTTACGGAAATATTGAAAAGTTAGACATATAAAAACTCCTTTTCCACAATAATAGAGCCAGGTGCGGACAGAAAACTACTGATTAGCTCATATTTACGATCAAGATTAGTATAAAAACAGCGGTTAGGTGTCATATCGCATCGGCCGACGGCGACGCGGCCGCCAGCGGTGAGGACGACGTCGCCACGGTACCGGCGGGGAAGACGAGCGGCGAGCGCTTCGGCGATGGCCGACGACGACGATACCAAATACGACATTGCACTACAACAATACTGACGATAAAACAAAACGCCGCTGCCCCGGTCGATTAAACCGTACAAAGCCAGTCGCATACTACTCAGATCACAACAAGCGGACGGATCGCAAGCGGCAGAAGCGGCTCGCCTACGCCGGCGGGTGCGGGCGCGCCGTCTCTCCGCACTCATAGTGTCCGAACGACCGTCTCGACCGTCGGCCGATGCGATAGAGGCTCGCGGGCGCAGAGAGGGGCGCGAGAGGTCGAGGAGAGCGCGGCGGTGCGACGACGTACGGAGCGGCATGCGAGCGTGCGGGCGGCCGGTACCGGTACCGGCGACGGCGACGGCGACGCGCACGCGCTGCGCGCCGGCGCGGCGGCTGCAGGTGTAGAGGCCGGCGTGCGCGGGCCGCGCGGGCGACGCGCAGCCGCGCCAGCAGGCCGCCGGCGGCGGGCCGCTCGCCCGCGGGCCGCAGGTCGCGCGGCACGGCGCCGCCGTCGCGCCGCCACTCGACGCGCTGCTCCACGCGCAGCGCGCACTCCACCGTCAGCGGCTCGCCGGCCGCCACCGACACCAGCCTCTCTTCCGCGGCGTCTGCGCAGGGTCACTCAACAACAACCGCCGTGCCTCGTCTCGCCTGCCGCCGGCCGAGCCGGGGCCGCGCGAGCGAATCTCGCCGCGTACGCGTCGTTCGCTACTATTATGAGAATGAGGCCACGAATAAATGTTAACAATCCATTTCAAAACTTGACTTTTTACTTTTTCAGTGTAGAGACGCAATGAGACCTAGAAGACGCAATTTTATCGAAAGAAAAGACACCGCCGCCCAGGTATCCAGATAAATACGATAAATTCAATCGACCTAGGACTATATGGGAACAGCACATAGTACATTCAACAAACATTTAAACACGATTTTAATAAACTCTGTGGACCCTGTGAATTAAGTGGTACTGGAGAGTAATAATTAATATGCAAATTCATTTAACAACAAACACAGATATTGATTGTATACGTTGGGAAGAAAGAGTTATGTTGACCCCACATTGCCCTAATTTCATAATTGAAGACTCCCCACTATTGCCCTAATTTCATGACTGAAGACTCGCCACTATTGAAATCAGTGCAACCGGCTGCCGCTCGTGTCTACGCTCCAGTTTAAAATCGTCAATATTGAGAACTCGGAGATGAGATACGTCAAATGAAGTAAACCAAACTATAAAAATCGAGTTTACCACTTATACATTGACATTTCTGCGGACTGCATCGCCCTTCTAAACGGCCCAGAAAACAGATTACGAACCAAAAACAGGGGTAATAGAGGACTATACAAAGATATAATTTAACTAAATAAATAACAGCTGCAAATTGATAACAATTTTTAAGCGTCAGAACGTAACTAAACTTGGTAGATACCAATGTATAGTTACTGAATTATCACTAATTGCTAAGATAATAATTTATCATGAGAGACAATTGTTTAATGATAATCTATTTTATATTCTCCATATACGTGTGTAACATCGCATTACATAACAACACAAGATTGTATTTCAGTCCGAGTATAATTACATTTCTAAATACATATACATTCCCCTCCAGTGAGACACAATGAACCTGCCAACAACTATTTACCAGTCCGGTTTATTTGCATTCCTCTTCCTAATTCTTAACAATGGTTTTGCAAAAGTCATCCTAACATTGTGTATTATATATGTGAAGGAAAGAAACGAAAATTAATTTAAATTATACTGTGGTTCAGTTGGTACCAAGTGCTAGGATTTATTATCATCATTCTAAATGTTATATTTTATATTAAGGAAACGTGTGGTAGTACTTACTATACGCATTGCAGATAAACAAAACGCAAGATAAAATAATGTAGATACTTATCAGCACATTTTGTATGTTAAGATAAGTATGCGGAAAATATTTATGTATTAACTGGCTTCATTGATTATTAAGCAGGCCAAAGGACATACCTACTATATAGCTCCCAGACATGTACAGTCAAACATGTTCAGGAAGGCAGTCCTATTGCTAAACATTGACATTGTAGCAATAATTTGAAAATGTAATAAGCAGACTCAAGGTTAGACATTATTTACCAATAATAATTTCTAACACTATGTCAATAGTGTACCTTCGCTATTGGGAATTCCTGTTTCCAAAAATAATAAAAATTCTTGTATGTCATGTTTTATCCATAACAATATTAATGCACTACACTGTCCGTGCTTGGTGTGAGTGAGGGTTTGTTAAATTAGTACACATGATATTTCAATATTTAGGTATAAATTTCTGTGGATGATGAATGCTGTTATCATAGAATAGGGCTGGAGGGCAGGGGGAGGGGTGGTTACACCATTTCCACTACCAGACGGTTCCTTACTATATACTTCCTAATATTTATAATGTAATACAACACACTATTCAGAGGCAAAATGTTTACACAAACATAGCGGCCCTGTCTGTGAGTGAGGGACCATTGAAAAGACTCATATCTTGTTATAAGCCGTTACACATAGGAATAAATCAGATTACTTGGCAGACAACATGCAGACTGATGGCTTAACTCCACTAAGTTAAAATTACTAGTCTTTTATATAATGACAAAAGGAGACAGGCAAGATGAAATTGAATGTCAATTTCAGACATAAAGTGTTCATATTTTGAGACCACAACTGATCTATGAACCTTGACATGCTGCACTCACTCTGCTGCCACTATTCTCATGCGCAGATAACTTATCATAATTGAGTAACAATATAGAATCTTGCAGGACACCATTGTCAATGTCTATACTAAATAGCCATTCCTGATTCTGATCCATCTGCTAACAAATATCATGTCACTTTGATATCAAAAGAGCACCAGATTGTTTAACTAAGCATTGTGTGTTCAAATAGTTGCACACATTGAGTAGTAATATAGTAAATGTGATGCAGCCATAAACTTACTCTTACTGATGACTCCAACAAAGTGTAGCACCATTATGGCAAAACAAATATATATTCTTAATAATAATACCTTATTTAATACTTATTACTAATATACTTATAATATATACTTTGAAATGATGATCTCATTTTGAAGTATACAATATGAAGATGCTTAAACATATGCAGGCCTTCTCCAACTAAATATTTCATTTATCTAATGATTTTAATGTGTGCAAACAAATAGTACTTCTAACTGCAGCACGCCGTCATCTCCAGACCTGGCCGAACGAGTACGACACATACATTGTGGCTATAAATGTACAAACTTTTTAAAATAAATTGTTGATATAATTTTTATACCACGCTCGTTCATAGTAACGAGAGTTACCTTTACATGATTTACTTGAATCCTAGAAATACAAAAATAACTCAAATACCCAAGGTCTCAAAAATGGTAGACATTATTTTTATTGTTATTGATTAAAATTGTGATGTAGTATATCGCTTCTCTATTGTTATATAAGAATATCAAGAGAAATAACAGGGTCAATAGTTAATATATCTAATTCTGTTAAGAGTTCGAACTTATCTTTTTCACTTACTTTGTGCGTTTGACGGAGCTCCATTGGTTAAAAATAGAAGTGCCAGAGGCAGACAAAACTCTAAACGCATGATGTTTCTTTTCACACAACACTTATAACTACAAGAACGTAATATAATGTTCGCAAAAACCAATTAGGCAATGAAATTTATTTAGTTAAAATAAAACACGTAGGACTATAAGAGCTAATTCACTAATGGCACTAATTATATTAACATGGCGGACAAAGATGACAAAGAAACAGAGACAAAAGAGTTTTCAAGGTGAAATCGGGTTAAGTCAGTAAGACTGTCAGTCAGTGGATTAAGCTGACTGAAGATATCTCAATATCAGAAAATATTGTCTAAATTATTATATATCTTTATTCATTACTTAAAAACGAAGTAGTTGCAATATTACAGTATGTTAGTAATAATATATGATCAAACGAACTTCTGGAGTGAAGTTCGATCAATATTATATGAGTCTTCATTCTTCAGATATACAATTATATTAACCAGGTAGTCCTTTTATCCTACATGGCAACTCGCACGATTTTTAGAGGTACAATCGATAAAGTTATCGATATACCCCTTTTATTTTTATTTTTATTCTTTTGTATCCCTGCATATTTCTCGTTTTCTGTTCATATTTTAGAGACTCAAATATAAAACTTTTCTGGGATTTGGGATGGGGGGGTTTATATATGAAGAATGAAGACTCATATAATATTGATCGAACTTTACTCCAGAAGTTCGTTTGATCATATATTATATTTCGTTCTTCATTCTTCAGATATACCATTATATTAACCAGGTATATGTTCAGAGATGAATCATCGAAATAATTAGAAAAGTTTTATTTTTATATTAATAATAATAACAAAGGCGATTATCATATTTGAAAGAAAATAAATATAATTTGAGAGTTATCATTAAATTATTGTAATCACATCCTGATCTAATAAATTAAGTATATAAATTGACCTTATTAATCTTATGGTTGAAAAGCAACTGTTTTTGCAAAAAGACCCTCGTCTACAATAGGTCTATTGTAAAATCTGGCGAATGTTTGAGAGGAATTAGTCCATCCGGCTTCTTCCTTATTACATCCAGTGAGATGCCTGCGTATAAGTAGATGCATTCTTCTGTGCGCACTAAACAGTTATCGACTTAATGTTTGTTTAATCCATCTACTTATGGTTTGATTGTTTTCATGAGGCTTTTTGAAGTAAAAGATTTTCTATTGTGTTTGATCTTAAATCCGAGGTAATATCAGATAGTCCTCGCTGTTGCAGGACAAATGTTTGGATTCTCCAAGAATCAGAAACAAGATCTGTTCTCTGCAGATATTTACAAGTTTTGTAATTACTATTGAAATAGTTTACTCTTATTAATATTATCAACTTTGATCAGTGAAATTGTTTGTACCCTATGTGCTGTACAGAGAAAAAGGTTACTAATTTTTTTGACAGTTTCTCCAATGTAATATTTTTATTTCAAACCAGTTAGAGATATGGCTAAAAACTACTTGGGGGTTCCATGTATTGATATATTTTGGTAACGGGGGTTTTTGTTTGAATACCTTTTAATAAACGTTTTATTTGATCGTCTGAAATATTATTTAAAACAAAGACAGAGCGGAATGAATTTACCGATCCGTAGAAGCATATATTGTTCTGCTAAAAAGATTAACACGTCCTTGTTTGAAGGGTTAAGCGTTTCAATGTTTTTTGCTGCGCAGAATTGCCACCATATTTTATATGTGACGCTATATTGTTTTAGAGTATTTTCCGCAATCGAAGAAACCATAATGTCTAGTGCGACCGACGGTGTGTTTCTTTTGATAAAGGCGAGCCGCAGAGCTTCGCGATAAGGCTGCGATTAGAGGGTGCAGCTGTCTGAAACGTGATAGTAAAAGCTTCTTACTAGGTTTAAATGTAATGATTTCTGATGCTAATAGGTCTTGTAGAAGTGGAAACCAGGCTTGTCCTGGCCAGTAGGGAAAACCAGAATGTGCCGAATCTCTAATGATTTTTCTCAAACATTTGGAGTTAAGAGAAAAAGGTGGAAAAGCATAGAAGAAGATGAGTCTCAGTTTAGTGAAGGCATCTACCATAAAAGCCTCAAAGATATATACTTTTGACATTTAGTGTTGGTGCAGAGACGAAGAGGTCTATTTCGGGTTTCCAATAGTTATTACTATTTTTTGGAATCGATAACGGCGTGTCTAAATTTAGACCATTCTTCATCTGCAATATTCGCGTATTAATATACGACTGCAAACGTTACGTTCCTCGCACCAACACCAAATTGATTTAGCCGGATCGTTTAAATGTGGAATTGTATGCCGCCCATTCTATTAATATAACTGATAGCTGTTGTATTATCTACGCGTAACAGTATAGAACAGTGGGACATATCGCGAGCAAAGCACTTCAAGCTCATAAATATAGCTAAGAGTTCTAAATAATTAATGTGAAACAAATATTCCTCATCTGTCCAAGAGCCGTTTACACGTGCACCATTACAGAATGCTCCCCCAGCCTGTTCTAGAAGCATCAGAGAAAATTTCCATTACGAAATTTTCGTCTGGTCTCAATGTGTTGGTGGATGAAATAATATTTTTTCTCCACCATTCTAATTCTGGTAACATTGATTCTGTTAATTTTATTTGTTTATCGTAACGAGAAGTTTTAACGCTAAATATTTTGGAGGACCGAGCGCAGGGCAAGCAGAGACTAGAACTGGAAAATTCGTGCGTGCTCGTGGACGAGGAATCTATCGATTAGATTGCTTATGTTATTTCGTTTTTCGGGCGCGATATAGCCTACTGTGTTAAATATAAAACCTAAAACGCAAGTTTGTTGCGGCCTCGAGGAGCTTTTCCGTAATTTATTACAAAACCTAAAACATTTAAGAATTTTAATGTTTTATTTATATTATCCGGCGCCGAGTGTTACCTATACATAAAATGTCATCAAGGTAAATAACTGATTTAAGCCTCGCGCAGATAGATAATTATTTCCGCATAATTTTGGTAAAAACTCGCGAAAGGCCATACGGCATGACTTTAAACTGAACGTTTGATCGAAGATAAAACCAAATATTTCTGATGACTTTTCTGTATAGATCAATAGGTACGCCAGATCTACTGTTGCGTTCGTGGACCGCGCGGATCTTCCATTTTAGCGGTTCTTTGGAATGAATTCGTTGAGTGGTTTTAGATTTAAGCGCGCGCGCCGCGTTAAGAAAATACTAGAAGAAAGTCATTTTTGTTCGCAAGATGCTATAGCCCCCAATTCTAGCAATTTATCGATCGCTACCCTCATATCTGAAAATTCTTTATTTGAATTTAGTATGCGCGGGGCAATTTTGCTGATTTTCCTATTAAACGGGATTGGGTATCCATTACGTATCCATTTTTAATACTACGATTTTTTGTAACTTTAAGCCAACAATTATAGAAATGCTGTATTCTGCCAGCGTGCTGGAGTTGGGGCACGTTGTCTCGTCTGGAGAGCGAGGAAACAGGAGCTCTGGGCGGTCATTACCTGCGGTCCTCCTCTGTGATGGCGGCGGCGCGCGCGGCGGGAGGCCGTACGACTAGATGATTGTTGGCGCGTTTGGGTTTTAACTATGGGACTGCTGTAGTCCTTGTTTTCTGCCTTTGAAGCTTTTATTTTTCAGGCGCGCGAAGAGCATTTCGTCTCGGTCAACGTCCGTATGACCTTGAGGAAGGACTTTTCCGCGACGTCACGAATTTCGCAGCTTGAGTTTCAACGCGCGCGACAACTGTCACTTATAAGTTTTATTGCCTGGAGTTTATCTTGATCATTGTCCAGCGACAGACGTTTAGGCCGAACTGCGACGCTTCTACTTTATCCCGTCCTCTGACGCGACGAGCTATCTCTGGATTTAGCTTTGGGGCTTTAAGGAGCGTGCAGTTACATTAAATATTGTTTATTTATATATCTTTGTTCAAACCTTTTTTGAGAATAGTTGCAAACATAGATTGTCGTGTATGTTTCAGTTTTTGGTGACGTCATCCGTTGCCGCCTAAGGCGATTAGTATTTAAATCTAGTTCCTATTATATAATCTCACTAGCATCTTGATTAGATGAAAATTATTAATTAGTGAATAAGCATATATACTGCTGTTGCTCGTTATCTAAAAAATAACTTCACTGTATATATGGAGTATGTAATATAGCGAATATAAGTTTTTATGTAATAGGCTATTACTATTTTTTTTTTTTTTTTTGTGAATATTATATTTTTGTTTAATCATATAAGTTTGTATCCATTTGTGTATCATCGCCCTCTAGGTGCATGATTACCACCATCGTGTTGATCCACGATCAACCTCCCGGGAAAGAAAAGGTAACTATTATTTCATATTAAATAATTTATGATTACTAATTATTTTTGATGACCCACGGTCAACCTCTGCCTTCGTAAAACGATTATTGAAATAATAATTTTTACTATGACCCGCATATATATGGATGTTATGCTATATCACTTCAATGTATGTAGTAGACTTGTACACTATAGTAATTTGAACAACCGAGATCGATTTTATTTCTCCGAAACTCTTCCGCTTTTGTTTTTCTCATGGTTGTAATGTGATCTTCTCTTGATAAATGGCATGATTATTTTTATTTTACCGAGATATTAAAAAAAAGAATGAACAGAAAACAAATTTACAAAAAGAATCATATCGATTTATCGATTGTCCTCTAAAAATCGGAGATTAAAAGCTCTGTAATAAATTAATCTGAAGAATGAAGAACGAAATATAATTAGAAGTAGTATTTAGCTATTTATGTTACCATCGTTAGTGGTAGTGAACATTCGCTCAGTAAATATCGCCTGTAAAGATAATCAAGTAGGTTTTATAATGTACACGAACCTTTAGGCTCATATCTAATGCGGAACGAATCAAGCTGCCAAAGTCTCAATTTGATATCGCTGAAATAAAAAAAGTGGCAGTGTTTATGCTACATTAGTTTATTATCTGTATGTCAACAGTTTAATTTGAAATACTTAATACTTTGTAGTAAAGTATTTCTTTAAATTTTTTTTAAACAACAAGATTTCTTTCTTCATAAAAAAATATATTTCTTCAATTTATCGACTTTGGAGTCAAACATTGTCATTGTTCTTGAATTCTATTATTACTTGAATGTAATCATTTCGCTAACTCCTAAATCATTGTCTGTTTCTAATATTTACAAGCTTTTAATTGCATTGAAATAGTTTAGAGGATTATCCACTTCATGCCGATGGTGCAGAAAAAGAAAGAGTAGTGCAAATAAAGATTATATCAAGGAAATGGTACATTCTTATCTTAGTAATTTTGCTTGTTTGAATCCTGGTACAACAATCGCTGAAAGCGATTTAAAAGACAATAATGAACTACAGGAGCATATACAATCGATTACATTGTGCGACATACATCACAAATCTGAAGTGCAAATGACAAACACCGAACTCGTATATCACATATACAAGTTGGATTCGTTCGGGGTAGAAACGGACACACTGACCGATAGCGGGTCCGGCGAAGAGCTCCCGGCAGCGGACGTGTGGACTCTACCGTCCGAGGAGTTCCACGGGCTGTGGGAGAGTCTCATTTACGATTCCAGCCTCAAAGAAGATACGTTACGGTTCGCAGAGACCGCTTTCGAGTTCGCGGATCGCGGCGTCAATTCGACCATAGTCGGTTGCAATCGCGTAATACTACTGCACGGCCCTCCCGGGACCGGGAAGACGAGCCTCTGCCGAGCTCTCGCCCAGAAATTGTCGATACGACTCGGCGACAAGTTCCCGAGAGCGCGGCTGCTGGAAATCAACGCGCACGGACTGTTCTCCAAGTGGTTCTCGGAGAGCGGCAAGATCGTGGCGCGGCTGTTCGACCGCGTGCGCGAGATAGTGGAGGACCGCAGGCTGCTGGCGTGCGTGCTCGTGGACGAGGTGGAGTCGCTGGCGCACGCGCGGCGCGCCGCCGTCGCCGGCCTCGAGCCGTCCGACTCGATCCGCGCCGTCAACGCGATCCTCGCGCAGCTCGACCGCCTGCGCCGGCACCCGAACGCGCTCGTGCTGACCACCTCCAACGTGACCGGCGCCATCGACGTCGCGTTCGTGGACCGCGCGGACGTGAAGCGGCTGGTGGGGCGGCCGAGCGCGCGCGCCGCGTACGAGATCCTGCGCGGCTGCTGCGAGGAGCTGATGGCGCGCGGCGCGGTGGCGCCCCGCGAGCGGCTGTTCGCGCTGCGCGTGCTGGAGGGGTCGCGGTTCGCGGAGAGCGAGGCGGCGGGCGGCAGCCTGCGGCTGTGGGCGGCGGCGCGCGCGGCGGCGGCGGCGCGGCTGTCGGCGCGGGCGCTGCGCCGGCTGCCGCTGCAGGCGCGCGCGCTGCACTGCGAGCCGCGGCCCGCGCCGCCGCTGCAGCGCTTCCTGCGCGCGCTGCAGGCGGCGCTCGCCCGCCACGTGGCCGACTGCGACGACCTGCTCCGCGACGAGCCCGTGTAGGACGCCTACTCCTCTACATACACGTTTATATATCTGTTATTAAAAGTTGCAAACATATATTATTGTGTTTCAGTTTCCGACGATGACGCCCCTAATAATAATTTTAAATTACCTATTATATAATCCATAAGGTAAATTATTAATTAACGAATACATATATTGTTTGCCAGTCACTTAATGTATATATGGATATAACGACTACAAGTTTGTGAACTATTTGGTGGTGATATTATTCTTTCAACCGTCAGTTATCCATATGTGTATCATATTGTTATTGCCACCTGTCATACAGTTATACATATTAAATAATTTATTACTCTTATTTTTTAATAAAACTAACAATGCAAATTTCATCACATTTTTTTTTTTTTTTTATATTTAAATACATTTTTCCACAGACATATTCGTCCGTGCCTTTTTTAATTTACTTTAATATTATTATATTTATTTAATTTCCATTTTTGTACAACTCCAGCCGAGATGTTACAATTTGCCTAACAGTGACACCGAGGCAGACCTTATCCGTCTAGCCCAGAACCACCGCTGGCCGGCCGGGTGAGTTGACAACATGCAGTGTCACCCATCTTTATTTGGAAGATTAGATTTATCAATATGCATATACAATTATATAAATCTTACACTACTACTAATTTCACAGTTTTCATTACATTGTGCAATGTAAGAATTCATAATGTAACAATACACATTATGAATTCTTACACTGCATATACAATTATATGAAATCTTATTCTAACACTATTTTCAAAGTTCACTATTTGTTATAGTCCAGCGTTTAATTATTGATTGTTTAATTTCACGTTCACTTTTTGTCGTAATTCGTCACATTTTTTTTTTTTTTTTTTCACACACTTCCCTCCCCTTTTTTCTTTCTTTTTTTTTTTCCTTCTTCCTCCTTTTCTTTTCCTTTCCCTTTTTTTTTTTTTATACTTTTAGCGAGCATGTTCCGGCCTTTCCAGTCCAAAGCGCCCCGACGATGCATCAGCTGTTCTGGTTTTCTTTGTGCTGATTATTTTAGCGCAATCAGCGCATCAATGATCGCCCTGTCTCTATTTTTAATCGCCATCTGAGTGAGTACTCACGAATGTCCGAGTAGTCGCGCCTGTGTGCCTGCTTGTGTGTGTGCGTCTTCTCGATATCGTGTGTGCGTGTGTGTGGCTACCACGTGAGAGTGTGCCATGCACTTCCAAGGGTGTGTGTGTGTGTTGATGATAATAACCCTCTCCGATGTCGCGTGTCGTGTGTGTGTGACTCCTCGTCCATTCCATATCCCTCGGATATTAGCGCGCGTCCGCTGTGTGTGTGTGTGTGTGTGTGTGTGTGTGTGTGTGTGTGTGTGTGCGTGTGTGTGTGCTGTGTATTCCATGAGCCTCAGCGATCTAATCCGGAGGCGCGCGTCCCGTGTGTATACTTCTCTCGGGCGCGCGGGGTTTCTGTGTGTACATGAAACTCCCTGTAATACCTGCTGATTTGGCGCGCGTAGGTAATTTCAAATAGGTTATGCCTATCTATAAAGGGGAGTTGATTTACGCGCGTCTGTGTGCGTGACCATTTCTGCTGTCACTATGGCGCGCGTGGTTCATAAGGGCTTCATCCACTAGGATGCGGGACACATTTGTATTGCCCTGTTGCCGTTAACCAACAAAGAGGCGCATTGTGTGTCACCCTTTCTCCTGTGTTTTTCGTTGTCTTGGCTTCCAGCTTGTTCCTTAGATCCTTGGCGCGCGTCCACGTGTGTGCGTGACAATCATGTCCTTTTTGCGCGTCGTAGTGTGATGATCCACGTAGTCTTCCCGCATCCCGGGACGCGCGCGTCGATATTTGGGATGTTCCACGCTTCAAAGGCGCCCCGTGTGTCCCTGCACCTCGCATCAGGCGCGCGTCGTGTGTCCAACATAATCCTTGTGCCTGTCCGCAACCGCGGATATTATCCTGTGGGGGTGCGCGTCGTCGGCTTCCCGCCTAGTCTCCTCCGCGTCCAGCGTGACGAACCCCACGGACTCGCAGCATGCCGCCATGTATTTACCAGTATATGCCCCTAACTAAAATTTCATCACATTATAATTTTTACTACCTGCATATATATGGATGTTATGTATCACCGAAGTAGTTAAAGTAGCATTCAACCGTCGATTTTATTTACCGAAACTCCTCGTCATGGTGTCTGTGACTTACCCCAATAAATGGTTAATCTAGTATTAAAATAAGTTTACAACTGAACTTAATAGATCTGAAGATTGCTCGAAAAACTATTTTATTTTTCTTCGCCTATTAAACAAAAAATTACATAAATAGGGATGTTGGGTTGAAAATAAACAACAAGATACTAGTAAAATAATATATTTACAAGTCAAGTCAAACATTGGTATGCAAGCGGTGGGGCAGACGTGTGGCCCTCACCGGCCGATCACCCACAGCGAGTTGTCGTGAGAGTCCTCACCGGCCGATGGCCCGCAGCGGGTGCGGGTGGGCCCCTCACCGGCCGATGGCCCGCAGCGGGTGCGGGTGGGCCCCTCACCGGCCGATGGCCCGCAGCGGGTGCGGGTGGGCCCCTCACCGGCCGATGGCCCGCAGCGGGTGCGGGTGGGCCCCTCACCGGCCGATGGCCCTCTGCGGGTGCGGTGTGTCACCGGCCGATGGCCCGCAGCGGGTGCGGGTGGGCCCCTCACCGGCCGATGGCCCGCAGCGGGTGCGGGTGGGCCCCTCACCGGCCGATGGCCCGCAGCGGGTGCGGGTGGGCCCCTCACCGGCCGATGGCCCGCAGCGGGTGCGGGTGGGCCCCTCACCGGCCGATGACCCACAGCAGGTTGAGTCCGGCGGGCCCGAGGTGCAGGCGGCGCAGCGCGGGCGGGCGGCGGCGCGCCAGCACGGCCACCAGCACCAGCAGCGCGTGCAGCAGGTTGTTGCGGCCCGCGCCCACCTCCAGCGCCGCCTCGCCGCTCACCACCGCGTAGTGCGGCGGGCGGCGCGCGACGCGGTGCAGCACCGGCCCGGCCCCCGCACCGCCCCCCGCGCCCCCCGCACCCCCCCGGGGGGGCGGCGCGTCCGACACGTGCGCGGCGGTGAAGGCGCGCGCGGGCGGCCCGGCGGCGGCCAGCTGTCCGTCGAGGTAGGTGGCCACCAGGTGCAGCACCAGCTCGGCGTCGGTGGGCCGGGACTCGTCCCAGTCCGCGCCGCCGCCGTTCCACTTGTACTCGCTGAGGCAGCCGCCGCGCGCCAGCTCTGCGGACGCACGCACGGTCACGGGGCGGCACGAGTCGAGAGAGAGGTGCACGTTCCGTCTCGGGAACGTTAGAAAATTACAACGATATTCGCTTCTTAATTTGATATTGTACACGAGCCGGTAGGTTCGGTCTCGAGTGTTTCGACAGAATATCGCCCGAAACTATAAATCCGTATATTAATTAACGATTACATTTTGTTTTATTAATGCTTTTATTAAGGCTAAAAAAAATTAACATAGGCGGCGGGTGCACCATTCCATTATTGTCAGTAATATACATATATAAAACACTCACATTGATACAAATAAAATCAAACTTATGATTACAAATATTTGTACCGTGCGAGGAATCGAACCCGCGGTTATCAGTTACCACTGCAATAGCCACCGACCGGTGTAGGTTTATAGTAGCACATAGTAGAGAGCATCTGACCGTGGTAGCGGCGCACGAGGTAGGCCTGGTCGGCGCAGGGCTCCAGGTACGGCAGCAGAGCCCGCACTCGCTCGCCCGCCACGCTCAGCGACCGCAGCCGCTCCACGCCCACCTGCACGTCACATTTGTCACACACGTCTCCACCACAATTGCCGCGTGAATGTGTATTCTCGCCTAGAGTATGCATATACATACAGACTTTGCTCCGTTCGGACGCACTCTAGTACGCCCTCGAAAAAACGTGTGTAAAAGTAGCTACTGCCACCAAGTGTCATCGTTAACTACGAGATATAAAATGAGGAGTGTGGGAGTGAGTACGAGTGTGGGTGTGAGTACGCGTGCGTGTGTGTGTGTGCGTGTGTGCGTGCGTGTGTGTGTGTGTGTGTGCGTGTGTGTGTGTGTGTGTGTGTGTGTGTGTGTGTGTGTGTGCGTGTGTGTGTGTGTGTGTGTGTGTGTGTGTGTGTGTGCGTGTGTGTGTGTGTGTGTGTGCGTGTGTGTGCGTGAGTGTGTGTGTGTGCGTGTGCGTGCGTGCGTGTGTGTGTGTGTGCGTGTGTGTGTGTGTGTGCGTGTGTGTGTGTGTGCGTGTGTGTGTGTGTGTGTGTGTGTGTGTGTGCGTGCGCACCACATCACACTATATGCACACGCGCCCGGTACACACACCGGGACCTCTTACATGCTGCATTGTCAAAGGTTATTATTATTATAATAAACTGGCTTTTAAAAAAAAAAGTTTCAATTGTTTCTCGCCAGTTCTTTTCGAGCTATTTACTAACAACAGGAGGGAAAAAATAAAATTATAATGTAAAAATTTGACGTTCATAAGCGGCTAAAATGTCCTACATGAATAAATAATTTTTTAATTTGAATAAAGGAAACCTATGTGACAGCCGACAGGGCCGACAGTACGTGAACATTAATAAAACCCTGTAGCCCAGGGTGGTTAACATTAAATTTATTTTGCAGTTCCATACACTGTAGGTTACGTATTTAGGCTGCTTTTCAGTTAGTTTCGGTGTAGTGGAATCCTATAATAAAATTTAAATAAAACGACGATGTCTCTCTGTGTTTGTACTGTGTGTGACAACCGATTGAAAGACTTAAACTGACATATAAAAAATGTGTTCAAATATTATTTATTTGGAATTTTTCAAACGGTGATATGATAATGTTTAACGACAAAGAATTGTTAGGAATATTGTGTCCGGTGGTCTGTCGTAATGTCCGTACGCACCAGCCGCAGGTTGAGGTTGAACTGCGTGAGTTTGCGCGGGTCGAGCTGCAGGCGGCGCCACAGCTGCGGCGAGGGCGGAGACCCCGCGCCCCCGC